GCCCCCGAACCGGTTCCCTGGTCTCTTCTGCCATTGCCAGCATGTTTCTGTGCATGCACAGAACAATTTACAGTCAACAGGCCTCCTCTGCTGATGCTCCTGCCCTCTGGAACATTTGGGCCCCTTGATGTGAAGTTCCTCTCTTTCTCTGAGGGCCTAAACATGTGGCTGTGCCAGTTGGCTGGGGGCATCAGTGGGGGAAGCAGCACAGTGGAGTTGGTTGATCGACTAATAACAGATGCCCCCTCCCCCTTCCCCATGTGTCTTTGGTTTCAATTGTTTTTAACTTTTTATGTTTTAACTATCTATGTAACTGTAAGCCATCCAGAATCACCCTAGTGTAAGATGGGTGGCCAATAAATTTTATAAATAAATGCAGGGAGGTATACAGGGTAGCCTGAGGTCAGGACTGTCACTTTTTTACCAAATTATCAACTATGTTCATTCTTTTCTTTGAACATTCACTCTACTACATATTCTTGGATGACAGACCCGCTGACCTATAGCCACAGTTGAATCTGGGACTGCTAGGAGCCCCCCCCCCCCGCTGCCACCGCCCAAAGTTGCAGCTGGGGCCATTTTGATTTCCATCGATACAGATTATCTATGCACAGTCTGCTTCCAAAACTTAGGAAAGGCCCATTGTTACATCCAGTGCCAAAATTAAAATTTAAAGCTGTTTACTTTAACCCAGAGGAATTAGTCTATTTTCTTTTCAGCTATAAACAGCTCTCTGATTTTGATCAGCAAACTTATTGTCAGGGGTGGGAGGTAAAAGTATTTTTCCTTCCACCATTTCCTTAACCTGAAAACTGTCCTTCTGAGAAAGGAAAAGACAGTTTAGCAATTAGGCAAGGAAGAGAGATCTGAAGAAGAGGATCACAAGCCCTCCCTTCCATAGCCACTATCGTGATCACATTCAGGCATCATTCCTTATTGGTGGCTGTTTCAAACAACTTGGCTAGGTGACCAGAACTCCTCTGCCTCTTGTCTGTCTGGACCCTTCGAAGACGCTCCCACCTGGAGGACTTTGCCTGAACGAGGCTCGATGACCCGCAGCTTCCTGTCTTTGCAAGTGGTGCCGAGTAAACTGCCATTTGTGTTGAAGGACATACAAAGGATGACGTCAGAGTGGCAGTCAATCATCTTCACTGGTTCAGCAATATTTAAGTTCCAGATGAGGACCTGAGAAGGAGAAGACGCAAATCAAACAGAAACTGCTCTGGGTTGCTCACAGGTATCTCATGGAAAATACTTTAATGTCTGCTCCCTCCTGCTATAGCTAAAAACCAGGGCTGGGCTGCTGGGGGTTCGCGGGGATTTGGGAGAACCTCTAGCTAAGATTCTGTGAGAACCCCCAAATCCCACTCCTGGCTGGCCCTGCCCACCCCTCCCCTCCCAGTAGTCCCCATGCGGCCCGTTTTGGATGCAGGCAAGTGCAGGATGCACGCGGAGGCTTGGGGGGGGGGGGAAACGGGCCTACTGGAAATTTGGGAAGAGTGGAAATGGGCCTGTTTCCAGCCTCCAGACAGCCTCCGGAGCCTGGGGAGGCCGTTTTTGCCCTCCAAAAGGCTCAAGGAAAGCCTCCGAGCCCAGGGAGGGCAAAAACACTCCACACACATATCTTGGTGCAGGAAGCTGACCAGGCCATGCCCACCATGGCCACACCCACCTAGCAACCGGGCAGAGAACCCCTTGCTAAATGTTTTGAAGCCTACCCCTGGCCTAAAATCATGGAGGGACGGTAAACAAGATAATAAATGTAGCTCCTATAAACTCTTTTGGCATTCACCAACCTTTCAGGAAATCAAGAGAGACTCACGCTTTTCTCAAGATCCCTCAGAAGGTTGAGTTACTTTCATGTTTCTGGAAAAGACTGGTGTGATTGGGCACAACATTGTCTGCATTTTGAATGTTTTGATGGTTCAGAACATTTCCCAGAGAGGAGGAGCCAACACTGCAACGATATGGATGTGCGGTCTCGATGCTCCGAGACCGCTGCTGATATTATTGCCACTGGATGGTCCAATCGGACCTAAACCGTCCCGTAGAGACGGTGAACAGGAAGAATACATCTTGCTGATCTCAGGGACACCGCAAAGTCCCTGATCGATCCAAGAGAAGTTCTTCAAGCCGGTGACAAAAAGTCCAGCGCCAGGCTGATGAAGTTGGGACAGCTCCGGAATGGAAGGGAAGTGAAAAGAGAAAGTGTGTCCATCTGGTGAGGAAACTTTATTGTTTTGGAAAAGACTGCCCAATTTTTTTTAAAAAGTTAAATTAAATCCGAAAGCAAATAAAAATAAGCAGCAAAATTAACCTATATTGGATTGCTTTGAATAGTGTGTTTAATTTTACTTTGTGGATTGAAGTGCTTGCAACTTTTTTTTTAAAGAGAACGGATCAGTTTTTCTTCTTTTATTTTTTTATTTTTATTTTTTAACCTATGGATTATAAAGTCTTCTTTATTTCAACAAGGACTTTTATTACTTGCTATTAATTCTATTTGAGAACTCTGTTTCTTTTAAGTTTGAAATAACATTAGAGAGTGGGAAGAGCCGAGGTGGCGCAGTGGTTAGGGTGCAGTACTGCAGGCCACTTTAGCTGACTGTGATCTGCAGTTCAGTGGTTCA